CATGGATCCATATCATATGTACAATTTATTTGATTAACACTTTCCAGTTTTCTGCTAAAAGATGAAGGACTAGTCTCACTTGTTCACAATTTTACATGTTATTCTATGGAACTGGATAGCTTAGACTTGTCGATAGTCATTGTAAAAAGTATGTTTAATGAAAAAATTATTTTATGCACTGCTATGTGACACACACTAAGAATATAAAAGCTGTCATCTGTGTGTGTGTGAATTCCTTATAGCTCCTGCAATTTTTGTCCAATCCAGATGAAATTTTGGTTATATTCATTTTACATTCATTATATAAATTTAATACTGTAACTTATAGTTAACTTGTTTTTATTGAAAAAAATTTACTGTACTGTACAGCAATGTTTTTCAACCTTCTTGAATACGCGACCCCTTTACAAGTTAAAAAAATTCTGGTGACCCCCCCAGGGCCATATTAAAACTATATCAGTGATTTTAAAAACTACGTATTTAATTTTCTTTCTGTTGAGACCTAAACATCAATCGAAAAACCAATTGTACTTTAAAATAAAAACGCAAAGCCTTCTGACTGAAATTGTGGTTTTATTTATTGTAGTGTAGGACCTACAAACACTTGTCTTTTTCTTTTATCCGCGACCCCCATGCAAGGCTTTGCGACCCCCCTGGGGTCGTGACCCACAGGTTGAAAAACACTGCTGTACAGTATAACAGAATAATTTTGCACCAATTTCTTTTATACTGCTTCCTCTGGAAACACATCCCTGTGGTAAAATCAGTGCAGCCTGCATAATGAATATTGATATTGGTGACTTTTATTGTGAACAGCACAGTAGTTAACTGAGGAAGTGTAATGAAGTCTTACTTGTGTAGATGGCTGAGATGAGTCATACCTAAATTGTTTTATAGTATTGAATGCTATGTAAAGTTAATAGGAACTATCTCAGCAAAGTTTGAAATTCCCGTGAGTAGTTTATCAACCAAAATAAGAAATCACAAATCAATTTTGAAATTAGCCAATGATGTAAGACCTACTGTTTAGCAAAACATGCTAGAACCTGTGTTTATGTCGATGTAGATGAAGCAATTTTAATGCTCTTAGTAAGTGTGAAGCATATAACGAGGTGAAAACATTGTTTAATTGTTCTATGCAACAAAAATTTACAAATTTTTTAAACAAAAATTTAGTTAAACTAAGTTGTAAGTATTTTAACACACAAATGTAAACTGACTTAAAATTACATTAAAATAATACTTTATTTACCAAAAAGTGTAATTTCTGTATAACAAAATTTCCCTGTAGCAAATATTTTTCAGGATTTAGCAACTTTGTTATGTAGAAGTTTGACTGTATATTGTTTTAAGGTAATGGTTTATTCTTCAATACACTACATAACAACTACACAATCATTATTTTTGAAATAAGTCTCTACACAAAGATGTGTTGTTCTGTGATCTACCTTTCCATGTTGAACAAAATAGCAACTGACTAATCAATACCATCATCTGACAAGCAATACTACTAACCACCATAATTTACATATTATGAACATGGCTACACCCTATATGTACAGTACAAAAGGATAAACTCCCAACAATGATAATTTTTATTAATACAATAATACTTTGTTCTTTATATATTTGTCTAAACCAGTGTTTCTCAACAGGGGCAATATTGCCCCCATGTGGGCGTTTTTCCATGTTGAGGGGGCAATTAGTAACAATTTATATTTTGGGGGGCAAAAAACAATTTTCTGGGCGATACAGTAAAACATTATATTAAGAATAATTAGATATTTTATTCGTTATATCGTACAATAATTAAACAAATAACATTATACTAGTCACTAGTCTATTCAATGCAGTACAAATTTGGCGTTAGCCTCGGCCCTCGGCATCGGAATTTTGAAGTGAAAGGGGTGATACTAAGTAACGGTTTCATTGAAGGGGCGATACTAAGTAATGGTTTTATTGAAGGGGGTGACGATTTGTTAGAGGTTAAGAAACACTGGTCTAAACAAATAAAATTCTTAAAAACTTTAGAAAAATGTTCTTAATTTTCAATATTAGAACATCAATGCATTTTCACTAATCTGAATTATTGTATGAAATTGTTTGGATTATTAAAGTTCTGTATGAAGGTCACTCTGAAATTAATATCAGATTAATTCAAGAATAATGCATAAATTGTTGCAGTCAGCTTTTGGCAATGAAGCACAGTTTTAAGCCATTCTATTCAGATGGTTTACAGAATTCCATGGGAGTTTGCAATTCTCTACATAATGAAAACCACAGTCAGACCTGCATCAGTAGTAGTCCCAGAAAGGTGTCTGCCATATGAAAAATGGTAACTGACAATAATTGATGTACCTATCAAATGATGCTTGCTGTTATTGGCATCACATCTGCAACTACATACAAGATCAGGCATAAACAGTTGATATAAAAGATAATGGTTAGTTGCTACATAAGTGAAGGAAGAACTAGTTAAAATCAGTTGGCAAACTTAAAAGTTACTGAATTGTGGTAGTCATTGCATCATCTCCAAAACTGTACAAGGTGACAAAATGTACAGTACATACCATTTTTCAATGTCCTACACATCAGGAGGATATGAGGGTGTAGTATGCTTTTTAATGATTCTACACCAACTACTGTGAAATGACAAGTAATAAAGTTATGTATGCTGTATTCTTGAGGAGTACAGGGCTTGTCAAAGCCATCAAGTTAGTAAGCCAAAAGACATTGCAGCCAATTGGAATACACAAAAATGTCTGCCAGAATTGCTTCAGGAACTGAATGTTAGATCATTATGCTTTACCACAATATTGCTTCTTCTCATAAGTTTATAACAATAATTAAGTTTCTTGCAGAAAATAACATCAAAGTAATGAAACTTACACCTTACTCTCTTGATCCAGCCATATGTCACTCTGGTTATTTTTTAATCTTAAAAAGTTTATACAGTTGTTGTTTTGCATCCAAAGATGAGATTGACATTGCTATCAGAGAATATTTTCAATGAATGGCTTGAAGCTTTCCACCTTTGTAAAATCCAATTTGGAAAGTACATTGTTGCCAGAGGTTACTAAAGTTTTACAGTTCTAGTATCTACTGGTTTTTGTACTTAAATTTTCCAGCACTCACAAATTTCAGAGTGACTCTCTATATAGAAAAAAGCAAGTCAAAAAGATCTACAGACAAATTTGACATATTTTTAAAAATTACAGGTATACCTCGCCTTACGTCGGTAATTGGTTCCAGGAGAACGACTTAAGTCGAAAAATGACGTAAGTCAAATTTACTTGTCTCCGAATCTACTTGCCATTAGGCTAAACCATAAATTACCAATTCCCGTTCTGTATTTTATATATTAATGCATTTTTAATAATATATGGTGAATAAGGATCTATTTTAAGCTTACAAACAAATAAATTTTAGTTTTTAATATAGTACAGAAAAAAGTCATTTAAATTTACGAATGCATGTGCTGTAAATACAATATAGGCCTATACTTGTAAATGTATATATTATAATATGATTTTATGTGCATTAAACATTTTTCTAGTGATATTACGACTTCAATATTTGTGGCGGATAGACGTAAAGTCGAATAAAATGACTTAAACTTGATTTTTATTTTTCCATATATTTTTTTGACAAATGATGTATAATCGGGAACGACATAAGTCGAGGTATACCTGTATTGCATAATTTCTTTGTTTTTTGGCTGGAACATTTAATGAAAAAATAGAAAAAAATTGATTCAGATTAGCAAGAATGAGGAGTATTAAGTTTATATTGCTATTTTATCTTGTTGTTTATAATGATATTCAATATGAATATTAAAAAATATTACAATTAAAGTGTTAAACATAAATCTCTATGCAATTACAGTAAATAATGCACAAAAAAATTAAATTTCAACAATTAACTTATGATGAAACACTAATCATTTGTTAAGGTTATAAAAGATAATGCCATTTATTTAATTTTACATTCAAAATGTGTACTGAAGATAAGTAATACGACACTCATGCATTCATAGAAATAAATGTGAATGATATCAAATAAAAGAAGGCAGTGAGCTTAATAAAAATGTAATATGGTGAAATCCAAAAAGAAAGAAGGATCCAAAAAAACACCTATACAGTATCATTCTGGACACAATAAGAAAAGACATACTCAAAGATATAATACATTGAAGGAAAGACAGCTGATACAAATAGCTATTCTGATAATGATGCCAAAGAGTATAATAAACACTCATCAAAAACATATTAAATATTGATGCTTATAGTCATGTAAACTTTAATACGTATATGTAACACTCTCTGTACATCACTAAGTACCTATGTTATTTCAAACCAATATATTAATAAATTACAACTATACAAATCTTTATCATTATAATATAAACTTTAAAACAATAAGATCATGATCCACACAAACTGTTCAAAGGTTTCTATTCACAGTCTGTTTGTTCAATTTGAAATATCTACAGATTATTAAATATTTACTTAACAATATAAATAATATATTTAGTTATTTGTAAATAGTCAAAATTGCTTGATTTGAGGGTGTTAAGTCTTGGATTCATTACTGAATTAACCTGCTAATTATATTTAAGTAAAACTGCAGTTCTGAATGAGAGGTTTGGACCCCCTAGACAACAGGCTTTATCTCACATAGGATCACATGTAGACATATGTTCCTTTGATTTTTTTATACCTATGGGCATGATATACAGCTCTAAGGGTGCGACTATGCAGACGCGAGCGAGCGAGAAATCTCGCTGGCGAGAGCGAATTTCTGGTTCTCGCACATATCTGACAGGGTTTGATATTTATCGCGTCTCGTCTTTTCTCGCTCGCTCGTGTCTGCATAGACCAACCGTCTCATTTAGAGTTGCATTTGTATCATTATATTGTGACTACCAATTAATACTTTATTTTAAAAATCCGCATTTTATAATAATTTCATTAATTCATATTATAAAAACATCATATTACCGTGAAATAAACCCTTTAACGAACTTATTCTCCCAAAAAAACACTATAGAAATTCAATGAGTAACAAAATCCTCCGCTCGTTTTCCGCCGCCATCTGACGGATTTAAATTATTGACGTTAAAAAAATAATTTTTCAAATACACAGAGTTTTAGATGAATAGAAACTAACCTCAATATTTCATCTTTTGAACAATTTGTGAAAAGTAACCCACATTGACCTTTCAATTTTTCACTGATTTTATAAAGATTATCTCTATATTCTTCTTCAGGTGTCCTTCCAAGTGCTCTTGCCATAACTCTATTCTTTCCAAAGAAGAATCTAAATATTCGTTAAATAAACTGATTAGACATTGGTTTTTAATTTGATGATGATGAAATAGTACTCATTTAAATCACCTGCTATGTTTCCATTCTTCCCGGACATCTTTTAGAGTATTATTTCTCATATTGCGAACAGAAAAGAGGACTACACGAGCATAACTGTCAACACATTTTTGAATCTAAAACGTACATAAAATAGATATTTTTAATTCATATTACTTAAGATTATTCAATCCATATAAAAACTTATATCAAGTTCATATATTACAAATTAAATAATAATTATATTTTACTACAAATATTCAAAACTATTCCCTATATGATAAACAAATTGAGAAATTAATTAATTGTTCAATGAAAGACATAATCCTGCTACTCAAACAACTTTGAGTTTCAAATATGCATGATCCCAAAAAACAACATCAAAAATTAGTAATTCTTCATTCTTTACATAAAAAAAAATATATTGAGTCAATTTACATCATCTTTTTATAATCAGAACTCAATATTTTCATAAATTTAAAATATTACCATAATATGATGTGTTTAAAAGTCAATTGATGGTTATGCAATGACGTGTGTTTTCTGCTGATTTTAACTTTCAACAATAAACTCATCCAACAGTATTTCCTTTGTCTTACCAAGAGTTTTTACAAAAACATGATAAAACCTTCGCTGGCTTCAGACATTCATCTACTGTCACAATTTTCTCAAACAACCAAAGGTATGTATGGTTCACATTTGGTTCTCTCCCATTTATTGTCTGTACATCAATCCACACTTAATTAACTGATGTATCAATTACTTTTTTATTTAAAAACTGATACAAATATGATAATTCCTTCCTCTTTGTGTGTCTCAGACAAATATTTAAAAACAAAATGTTCATGTCATATACTGTACTAGTATTTTATAGTGAATAAAAACTGGGCAATAAACACTCAAATCCTTGTCATTGGATTTGAGAGTTTATTGCTACATTTACCTACATCACCTACATTAACATTTTTTCTATGTTATTTTTTTTGAGGTTGTTTTAGCTTTATTATAATTATAATTATAATATAATCTATACAGAATACACTAAGGCAAAATCTGTTTCCAATTCTTATGATATTTGCACTTGAATTACATTTAGCTTAATGAAAATTAGTCCTACTGCATCTATTTTGCTGTTTAATTTCATTTAAAATAATTAAAAGCAAAAATATTCCAAAGTTTGCTCTTGTCTTATTGACACTCCCCCTGCCATTCTGGTTATTGAACTTTCCCTTGTCTAGTATAAAAATGTTTCTAAAAATAACTTAATTGATTGACATTCTTTCATTGATTTTATGTTATTAATAGAAGGATTATTGTAAATTAAATTTTAGTCAGGATGACCAATGTCAATTAAGCAAAGAACTCTTACAATGGGAAAAAAATAAAAGCTACATTTGATTAAATGTTATCAACTTAATTTGCATGCAAAAATGAATATTTGATTGTGAAGGTAGTTATACAATTAATGTTGTATACCATGAAATTTTATGTCTTATATAAATAAATTTTATTTTCCCTATTTATTTGTAATTTAACCCCCTGTTGCTCCCAAACTGATCTGCCTATGCATGAATTCCAAACTGCATATTAGTGTACATATTTGTCAAAAGTGTGGCTTAAAAATTTTATTTCAGTTTGCAGGGTATACACCAGTTTGAATTATACACTGCTGCAGGTTACATGCATAACATTATGGTAAGCACAAAATAATAAAAATCCAAATATTATTACTACTTTATAGGGAGTGATACATTTACATTTTCAAAATCTGAAAGCAATTTATGGTTATAAATTATATATAATAATTATAATAATGAAAGATACATTGAATGAAATCTTACTTCTTCTATCAAATGCTGCTTCATTTCTAAACCTTTCTTTCTTGTTTTGGTAAGAGTAACTGTAAAAACATTTCAAAAAAATATTTACTATAAATTATTATGTAAAAAGTTATTTTAAAGGATAATTTATTGTTATATTTTAGATTATTATATCAAAAGTTGAATTACATATAAGTATTATATGTAAATTATTTAGCTGTAAAATCAATACACATTCTATAAAACTTTGATCCAAAAGATAAGACTCTCTTAAACTTTATGATTTCTCATTAATAGAGATTAATTAAAACATAATGAAGATTCAGGTGCTTCATTCCTTCTCAATAAGTAGATGTTTCACTAGCATTCATTTTAAAATATTGATGATCTTACAACAGTTATGGTTATATGAAAGAAAAGAATTATTTTTGATGAACAAAATATTTTATACTAAAGAAATGGAAAAATGCATGAGGTCCTTACTGTACAGTTAGATTAGAAAGAGAAATCTCAGAGAAACAAATTCTATGATGATGATGTTTCTAATTGCATTCAATACTTCATTTTTGGAGTGAAAACTTGTCATTTTGTTTTAGTGTAATACATAATGATATAAATAAGGTAGTACAATTGCAGATGTGCACAACTACATGTGGAGCATCAGTCAAGGCGATCAATCTCTCACACCTCAGTACTCAGTAGGGGTGATCCCCAACACTATATGACATCAAGTAATCCACAAACAGTCAAGTGGGCTACTTCAAGTTGGTATAGTTGTGTGCACTAAATAGTTAAATGCGATAGTTTTTGTGGAGTGCAACTGGCAATTACATGTGGCTTAATTCAGGGGCTATAACTCACAAAGGGTCACATTTAGAGGTATGGTTCCTTTGACTTTTCTGCTCCTATGGACATGCTCTATAGTTGTGTCAAGGTCCCAACAGTGTCATTCACTTCAGTGCACAACTACATGTGGAGCATCAGTCAAGGCAAGCAATAACAAGCTTTGATGATGCAGAGCATGGAGAATAGGCAGTAGCACTGGTTCAAGGTAAAAACAATTTTCAGTCAGTAGAAGTTAATGCATTTATCATTTGTTATAGGCACTGATTGCCATGCCTATAACATAACTTGCTTGCAAGCATGATGTCCACAAGCAAGATGGCAACTGAAACTGCTACCATTGGGTTCTATATTTGAAGACGATATCTGGGAAATAGTTGGCTGTCAGACTTTCCTTTGTTCTTTAATGATAAATATTGCTAGAATGTCTGATAACTGCACTGTACTGATTGTTAACTCACAAAGGGCCACATTTAGAGGTATGGTTTCTTTGACTTTTGCTCCTATGGACATGCTCTACAGCTGTGTTAAGGTTCCAACAACATCATTCACATCTGCAATCTTCCCAATAATGTTACAAATATGAATGTGAGTTAAGTACTGTGTTTTGGAAATGTCTACAAATACGTTTCTTTAAAAAAATTAAAAACGACCCCATGTACCGATTCTATATAATTACCATTTGTTACTTGGTGAAAGCAAAAATTCTTATAAACTTCTATTCAATATTAAATACAGTAATACAAATGATGGTAAAATTATAGTAAAGCGAATTACGAATTCACTAACGAAGTTCAAATTGCTCATTAGATATTTTAACTTAGATTTTTCTAAAAATTAATATTTATTAAATAGTATAGCAGTTATATTCCTCTTTTCAACCTTCCAAATTATTTTAAACGAAAATGATCAAATCTTACTTTGTCTATTTCTTTTGGATTTCGGCATGTTTAACAAATTACACGAAAAATAGATTTAGTATGAAACACGTGTGTTCTATTAATTTAAACCAACACTAGAGGGCGGACATATGACAAAAATCAATGTTAACAGTATTTTATTTTTAATATTTATTTTTCCTAATAAAGTTAAATAATGCATTTGCAAAAAATTTTTAAATGTAAATTTTTTTTCACGTTTTTTATAAGTGAAAATTGTTAAATTAATGAAGAATTGTAGGCCGAACTTAGCATCGGCTTGCCGCTATGGAGCCCGGAATCGAGTCCAAGATACGATTATCTAAACTTTCACGATGCCACAATTACAGTCAAACCTCGATTTTCGAACGCCTCATTTTTCGAACAATTCGCTTCACGAACTGAATTTCGAACTCATAATTGCTCCGGTTTCCGAACAAACCACTCGGCAAGATCCGACCACAAATTAGAAAAGCATAGATGGTCTTCTTATATTAATTAAAGAAAGTCGACCACCCGATCAATCAATGACAGGACTACCAATTCAGAAGTAGTGGTGCCGAGATCGCCAGACGTCATTAGTCGTCACGACACGAATCATCGATGACGTTGCTATTTAAAATAGATTTCAATACGCATGCGGGAAAGATACTATTTTCGTTTTTCGGTACACTCTGCAGTTAAATCAAATTAATTACTGTAATAAAAACCGCGTTAATTGATATTTACGTAATATAAATGGAATTCAAGAATTTGTGTTTAAATATGCTTAAGTTAAATTAGATAACAAAAGTTTATTAATATACTGTATATTATAATATTAATATTTATTTATCAGCTTTAAAGCAAGAGTGGCAAACATTTTTGAAATCAAGAGTACGCTCGGTTTACTAAATGACGTAATTGGTGTTTGCTGATTACATCCCCATACAAAAATTATTTTACATTGTATTGATTTTTCTTCTGCAACAACTTTTAATTGTATATTTGAATTTTTTTGCGGAACACTTAAAGTGTCTTCGCGAAGCAACCGTGTTCTGCAGACCACGGATTAAGTACCACGGGTTTATATAAAGCTCCTCTTAGTGCTCACAGAGCGGAGAGAGTCTCCATATAAACGAGAGAGAGAGAGAGCGGAGAGAGTTATAAAAAAATACACGTGATA